TCATTTTATATATTTTTTGATTTAACATAGTAAAAATCATAAAATCTGGATCCATTTTTATACACGTTACACTTCCAACATCAATGTACTACATCACTTAAGAATGTTATAAAAAATTATGTTTGCATTATTATCATTTTAGAAACATCATGACATTTACTAATTTGAATCAAACCTCCACAAATTTCGTTAAACTTATTCGAACCCTTACCAATGGCATGTGGGTTTTTTACTAGTTAAAATTAATCTTTATCTTTATCTTGAAAACACGATAACATATAAAGCACAATCACAATTTTTTGGTTATGATTCTGTAATAATATGATTTTAATTTCTTATAACAAATAAGATATAACACAAATTTGTAAAAGCTAATTAATATAAAAGGTGTTGTTGATAATCTATATCTATATAAGTTATAAAATAAGAATAAGTCGATGTTGATTTTTGTAGATTGAGATATAATATATACATACATTGTATGTTATGTGACTAGCTGACTATGGGCTATGGGTTTATCTACATATAACAAATTTCATATATGAATATCACTACAAAAAAGCAGCCCAAGAAAATGTTATGCATATGCAACTTTTTGTTATATTTATAAATGCAAAATGTACAAGTCTGTGTAGCTGAAAGTACACACCATGAAACATTAACAATCGGCTTTATCTCATAGCTTCCCAAAAACATACAACACATATAGCATCAACAACCAATAATATTTACATCAATATGCAATGCATTATGATTTATGCATGCATACTCAATTACTCATGAATCATGATAGAGGGTCTGAAGAAGAAGCTCTTGGATGCTTGCATTCTTGCTCGGGTGCCAGATTCTCAGGGGCAGCTCTCTTTGGTCTCAACTGCAGACAGAAATGATAAGTTATGAAACGACAATGAAGGGTATTTTTGTCTTTTTGCATTAGTGTGTGTGTGTGTGTGTGTTTGCAGACAAAAACACACCAACCCAAGTATAAATATGTTTTTTTGAGTTGGTGTATGCATTTGTACACATAGAGACACTAACACACAAGGGCAAATTTGTCTTTTTGAGTAGGTGATGCATTTGTAGACATAAATACAGAAAGAATTTCACCTTTTCATCACCACGCTCATAGAGTTGCCTCAGCAGTATGTTTTTGGCATCTGAAGATATTACTGCAAAAATTCACTTTCATATTAAGAATACAAACTTTGTAAATTGTAAAAACAATTGATCTTGTGTTTATACATGCTTCTATAAAAAGTAAAAGTATAGAACTTTATAGCAACTAAAGGAGTAGGTGTAGCAATATGAAAAATAAAATTGAAGAAAACAAGAAAGGGTAAGATATAATTATGTTACCTTGGTCAGGTGGTGGAAGAGTTCGTTCATGAGTTGGATGATATGTAATTGGTGTCTTCTTCTGAACAAAAAGTAAAGCAATGCTTTCGTGATTAATTGAGAGAATTACCATTATTATTGAACAGTAAAACTAATGTTTATCCATTTAGTTAATATAGAAGATAAGTTAATAAATTCGTATAGGTGTTAACTGTTATATCTTTAAAGAAGATGAATCTCAATCTCTATCTATAGGATGCTTAAATTTCCCAATTTCAAGTATTCCCAGATTTGTATTTTTATGGAGTTTGCTCTTTGATAATTCTATGTAATATGCATTTTAATACTCCAATTCCCACAAGATTTAGAAACAATGTTCAAAGTGAAATTAATAGCAGAGATGTAAAATACACTGGAGTTGGACTATCACCATGTTCATCTCAGACAATTAGCAAGCTTGCATACCCAATTTTAACCCTAATATGGACAAGAGCAAATCGTTAATATTTCCAATTTTACTTGGCAAGATCCTAAATCAGATTCTAGTCTAACATCAACAATTAGAATAACACCACCAACAATTTCAAAACAAGTATCATTCAATTAGTAAAATAATAGCATAGGAACCCCTAAATTAGATTTCAGTCTACCATTTTCGTTAAACACACACCATTTAAAAAGCAGCATCGACATTACACTAGTTGTAAAATCGATTCATTTAAAGAAAACCGACACTACTACAGATGCATTTAATGACAGGTCAACTAAGCCCGAAAACACAAATGTTCTGTTCAATCGATGATGATTTAGGGTTAAATTCATCCGTGGGGTTGTGATTTGATTACAAAGAAAAGAAAAGAAGACGGAAAATGTGACGTGATGTGATGAGATTGAGATGAGAGCTTACGGAAGGAGCAGACGGATCATTGGGGCGAAGTTGGCTGAAGTTGTGGGGGTCGAAGGAAGGCCAATTACCAACAATCCACGACCCCATTAAAATCGATTACAGTCCCACAGATTTCTCAGCCCCGATAATCGCAGTTTCTGGAGATGACAGATGAGGAAATTGATTGTTTATTAGGGATACTTCATACATTTTTGTTAACAGCGGCGTGCATTTTGGTCTTTGGTCACGACCCATTTAACTCGAACCAATAAGAACGCTTTCCGAATTTGGCCCGAAGTAACCGTTTATCATATCATGATTCATGGCCATGGGTTTTATTGAAAAACATAATGAATTTTCTTTGCATGTTTATAAATTAAAGGAGTAAGGACAAAATTGGCAATGTAGGATTTTGCAATGTCGTTAATTAGTCCTTAAACTTTAAAATCTGTTAAATTAAAGATTAAAATTTTGAATTTGATAATAATTTAGCTAATAAAATTGGCAATAGTCGTTTGCCCGCTTGCAACATGCCACGTGGGATTTGATATGGCAAAAAAATACACTTGGCCAAATGTAAAAAACATCATCCATTTGTTTTTGGTATAGTATAACATCGTGAGCCTATTAATCTTCCTTTGGGTTCAAAATCATGTGCTAGATACTATCCAAAGGTTACAACCTATAACTTTTGAAGATGCCATCATCTTCTAATTAGAGCATTAATAATGGTTTTTTTTTTTTTTTTTTTTTATTTTTAATTTTTATATAAACGTATGATGTGGGTGTGGATTTAAAATGAAGACTTATACATCGTGGAACGATTTAAACCCTGACATGAGGGTAAGAGGGTATGTACCAAATACTTTTGTTCTTCTTCTTGATATAGAAGAGAGTGAAAATGTTAGATTTTTATTTGGGCATAGTGGAAGTTTTGCAGTTGTCTAATGTCTTTGGTTTGATACAAACTTGACATGGGAGACAGATTAAGGTAATGAAGAATTTACGTGTTTGTAAAGATTGTCATGCTGCTTTAAAGATGATATTAAAGATAGTTGATTCGAAGATTGTTGTAAAGGGTTGCAATCGGTTTCATTGCTTTAAAAATGGTGAGTGTTCTTGCAAAAAATACTAGTAATTAATGTATGCAATTTGGTCTCCCCATTTTAGTCGATTATTTGTGGTACGTGTATTCAAATTTATCAATAAGATTCAAGTTACATTCGGTAATTATTTAGTTTGGAAGCATCAAGTAGACAAGTAGTAGCCATTCATGAAGAATTTACATGGTGTAATTATTTAGTTTGAGTAAAAATCCCTCCTACAAGGATCAACAATGTTGTCCATGCAACCATAGTGTATAAGTGTTCTATTCTTGGAACTCACTTATAATAATAAACTTTACCCATGCTAGTGAAAAGTTTGCTGTTCTTGTTGACCAAACCCATTAACTTAAGAATATGATTTAATTAAATACGAATCTTGTTGCATTAAGGTTTTTTAAACTCTAACTTTTTTCATATAATTGAAATAACCGGTGGCAAAATTATTTTGATGATGGTGTCGTCTATTACAACGGAATCTATAAAGGCAATTTGAAAAAACAAGTAATAAAGTTTAAGTTTTGAGAGTTTATAATAAAACCCCAAAATAATTGAATAAGTTATTTGTTTATCGTAATTTATTTTCTAAGAGATAAATTATTTGTTAATTACTAATTTATTATTAAACAATTCAATATTTAAGTATTAAAAAAATCCTAATGTTATACTAAAGAGGTGAATATCCAAATTGGTTTTTAGAAAAACTAAAATCCGATCTAGATCCAGTTTAGGAAAAAATCTACTTTAAGGATATCCGATTTGTCAAGTTAGTTAGAATTCCATAATATTTGAAATAAGATATTTTTAACGGCTTTCTGACATCTGATTTAAAACATGGTATCAATCCGATTTTAGACTTAGTATAAAACTTTTGGTTTTATCCGTCACTTCTTTTACATAGTTCAACTTGATATACTATAAGGATTAGGGGGTGTTTGGGATATCTTTTCTAGCCTTAAGTTTTTTTTTATAAAAGATCTTTTTCCAAAAATAAATGTTTAAAATGTGTTTTGATGTAAAAAAGCAAAAATTGCTTTTCAAAAAACACAAAAGCCCTAAAAGTCAGATTTTATGACTTTTAGAATCAACTTCTTTTCCTTTTATCCAAAAGTTGTTTTCAAAAAATCTCTTCTACCTTGAAAATATCTTTTCAATTTTTTTGATTTTTTGAAAAATAAAAAATCAAAAAATTGTTTTTAAAGCAATCCCAAATATCCTCTTACTCTTCTAGGAAATATCAATGAATATCGTAGAAGTGTCTCCTAATTATTTTTTTTAGTACCTCTATGATAGTTCGAGCCACAATCTTCCATAACTACTTTGCATTCGTAGCATGATTACCTGTGAGTTTTCACAGGGGAGAAGTCCAAAAAAATTTTAGATTGTTTCTCATAAATTAATTATTTACATATACCCTAACTCTCGTGTTGCTTCACCTTTGCCTATTTCTAAGACCACCATATCTCTAAAGTCCTTATTGTTCCCTTCTTTAAACTTTTTCAAAGAATCATTGATTCATAAAGATGATAAAACATTGTTATAATATAAACATTACAAAGATACGAACTATGATGTTAGTAGCTTTCATGCATTTGAGATATTCATCTTCCTTTTAAGAAACATTTAGAAAATTAAATGATGTTTATCTTTTTTTTTTTAAGTGTAATTTAAAAATAATGTTTGAAGATATAAACATAAAGGACCAAAAAGGTTTAAGTTCACGGTGATTTGTGTTACAAAACTGCAAGGAGTAGATTGTATATTTGTGGATATATGAAGGACTATTTGCGTAGATAAAAGGAAAACGGAAGTTCATATAATTTTTCTTCGACTCACACACATAGCATTGACGAGGTGAACCAGGCGGAAGTTCCACAAGGTAAACGGTGAAGATCACTTCTTCTATTTCTCAAACTCCGTTTAATGGTTTCTGATCTTTGATTTACAAGCTCCGTCGAGAAAATTTTGCCACTAACCAGCGATTAGTTTCTCGGAATTAGTTTAACTTGCAAATTAGTATCCATACACCATTATCTGCTCTATAATCGCGTTAGTTGATTTACTAATCGACTAGGTATTTACTGCAGTTGCTTTTATGATTCAAATCAGGTGTCAATTTCAGCATCAGATCGAATCGCTCTCCTAAGTCCCAACAACACAACCCACGCCGCCGTTCATTGCCTCACTGCCAACGCTGCCGGACCACCGTTCATCGCTGCAGGTAACAAATCCAAGACTCTAAGTCAACATATAATGAAAGGAAGTGGTTCCAAAAAAGTTTTATTCGATTTGATTTTAGTTGAATCATGAATCAAGCATTCTGTATTAGGTTACTGAGTTTTTTGAACCCAAAATCAACTAGTCGATTCAAACAAAATTGCATTGTCTAAACAATTAAATTGGATTATTCTTGCATTTACATTATTTTCTGCATTAACATTATTATCATATGAATCTTATTCGTTCTAACATGAGTAAAACAATTTTCTGATCAGATGCTAGGTTGCTACCGGATCAGTTTCCTTTTGTCACTTTTTTGTTCCTTGGGTGTTCTTCATGCAAGCATTGGTGATGCTGACCCCTCATATAGGTAAGTAAATCTTGTGTCATCTTCCTTCATATCATCTTTCAAAGGAAAACTTACACATCTTTTTTGTACCAAATCTAGGTCATGCCTAATAAACTGTGAAGAAATTGGATGTGTGGGAGATACATGCCTTCCACACTGCAACATCTCATCTAATGGCACCCCTCTTGATGCTCCTTGGTACATGCAAGAACCTCAATGGGATTGCCAAAGTGATTGTAGGTACCATTGTATGGTAAAAAAGGAGCAAGAACGAGCATCATCTGGTCAAAAACCAGTCAAGTATCATGGAAAATGGCCTTTTAAAAGGGTATTTGGAATTCAGGTAATCTTAACATTTAACACCTCAAATCTGATTCTAAATAACATTTATTGATCTTCAAAAAATAATTTTTTTTCCCAGGAGCCTGCTTCTGTTGCATTTTCTGCTCTGAATTTAGCAATGCACTTTCATGGGTGGCTTTCCTTCTTCATTCTTCTGCATTACAAGCTACCTATGAAACCAGATAAAAAGCCATACTATGATTATGCTGGTCTATGGCATCTATACGGGCTTCTAGCATTGAATTCCTGGTTTTGGAGTGCTGTTTTTCACAGTCGGTGAGTTTATCGGGTTCTCTTTTGGTATGATGGAATCAAATCACAAAGGAATGAAATGATTCCATCCGGAATGCTCCATTCCATTCCTATTTGACAAACAAACAAGATTTCCATTCCATTCCCTCTTTGATTACTGCATACCAAACACTACCTACATGATTGTTTTTCCCAAATATATATATATTAAATAACAAAGTTTTATAAACTTTTTTGTTATGTACACAGAGATGTGGAATTGACAGAAAAGCTAGACTACTATTCTGCAATTGCATTGCTTGGATACTCACTGATTGTATCCATATTAAGAAGCTTCAATGTGAGGCTGGAGGCTGCAAGAGTCATGGTTTCTGCCCCTTTGCTTGCATTTATCACCACCCACATTTTGTACCTCAACAACTACAAACTTGATTATGGTAAGTTTCCAAATTTACCACTTTGACCTGGGTGTTATATCATAGTAATATGTCAATATGATTAATTTGAAAAGATGTCTGAAACTATTATGGCTTGATTGGAAAAAAATAAATCAATAATCACAACATTAATTTTTTGTTTATTTATAAAAATGATATGATCAGGGTGGAACATGAAAGTGTGTGTTACAATGGGAGTTGCACAGCTATTAATATGGGCAATATGGGGTGGAATAAGTGGTCATCCATCACGTGTAAAACTATGGTTTGTGATAGTTTCGGGTGCATTAGCAATGCTTTTAGAAATATATGATTTTCCTCCATACCAAGGATTTATTGATGCACATGCTGTTTGGCATGCTACAACAATCCCACTTACTTACATGTGGTGGAGTTTTATCAAAGATGATGCTCAGCTTCGAACATCTCTTTTACTCAACAAGGTAAAAATAATTAAAAAAAAAAAAAAAAAAAAAGTGTCTGAATGGGTAAGGAGTCATACTCATAGGGGCATAGCTATTGAGTTCTTTCTTCTTTGCAGATGTATGTGGTGCCAGATTTTTCTATTTTTTCACATAAACACACTTGTTGATTATATTACGTAATTCATTTGTTGGAGAACAAGAGGAGAGAAGAGGAGAGGATGGGGTTTAACCCTTTTGTGTTGTTTGCATTGTTAAAATTAAACAAGATGTGATTAAAACGATGAAAATGAGTTGGGTAAATCTTAATACTTGGATAATGATGAAGCGCATGATTATGTTTTTAGCATACTGGAGTTTGAAAAGGGAAATGAAATGTTGTTTTCTGAAATGATATAACTGTTCAATCCATACCGATTTAGCCCAGGTTTTAAATAGTTGACCCAATCTGAAATCAATTCCAAAACCAACTCGTTTTCATTAAAAAAAAATCAATTTTATGCACCTCTACATATAAGAACATATGCGGATCCCTAATAGTGGAATTCATTGAGCTACTACTTGAAAGCCATCAATTAACTAAAACTCATATCAAGACTTAATACTTAAACTAAACATAAAACACAAAATTCAATATAATTAAGAGCATAGTTCTTGTAGAACTCTCATTATCTCAACATACTAAAAACCTTATTATAACTCAAATATCCATGCCTTAAAAGCAAATATTTCTTCTTTAAACCATTAAACATGATCATACTTTTATTAGCATCCATAAACATTTGGAATCTGTTACATATGTAGTCGGTCAAAACATCGATTCATACGTTTTCTACCACTATATGGTAAAAAATATTCAATTTGTGTTTGGTGTAGTTGCATATATCAAGATGAAAGTCTTAGATCGAGAAACATGTGGTTTTGATTTGTGATTGTGATGAGAAACACATGTAGTAGATATGTAAATTGGGAGGCGGTGATTGTGTGAAACATCAATCACCTTTGATCATTGGGAATAACAACGTACTTTAGGATAAAAATATATTTTAATTTAAACGTTGTTGCAAAAATATCCCCACGTATACATATAAATGATAAACAAATAAAAGTTCAACTCATAGACTAAATACAAAAATAAATAAAATTCTACTCCAACAATTTATAGAGATAGATAACTAAGATGGTGTTTGTTTTTATTTTGCAAAAGTTCTTCCTAACCTCATATGTCTGCACCACACAAACTTTTGGTACAACACGTTATTTATTTTTTAGAAGATTACAGACTTAAAAATGTATACGTGTCATCTTGTTGGCACAAATCTAAACCTATGTCTTCTAACCAATGTTTTAAAACCCGGGTTTTTAGTTGACCCGGTGTGAAGACCGGTTCACGGGTCAACCGGTTCAACCGCCGGGTCAACCCGGTTTATGGCATTTTTTTTATTTTCATATATTTTTGCTTTCCTCCACACTACATAGACATATAATACCAATAATTTGATGTCAACAAAGTTTAATCTAAACACAAAAAACAATCTTAACACAACAAACAACTACATAGAGTATTAATAATATGTTATAGATCAATCTTAACACAACAAACAACATAAAGTATAAATAACAAAAGAAAACATAGTTCTAGACAAATCCAAACACGTTACGACCAAACCAAATCATGGATCTTGAGAAATTGGAGTATTATAAGCATCGATCTCGCGGTCACTTAATAACTGAAATTCACTATCAACTTCATGATCAACATGGTCACCTTGTGATTCAGAAGCCGGTTCATGCTCTTGCTCATCAAGCATATTTTCCAAATCATCATAATTAAGTTCTCCTTCCCGCTCTTCTTCAACCACCCAAAATCCCGTCTTATCAATATTTTCATAGTCAACAGGATCGTAAGACCTCATATCAACCTTCAATCTACAAAAACATTCAAAAAAATCTCAAATATAACTTGGTCATTTTATAGCATAGTATATCTTAGCAAGTTACCATACCTATTTTGTAAACGCAAGTTGTAATGAACAAATACAAGATCATTTAGCCTTTGATGTTCCAATCTATTCCTCCGTTTCGTGTGAATCCTTTCAAATACACTCCAGTTACGTTCGCAACCGGAAGAAGATGCCGTTTGACTTAATATTCTAATAGCAAACTTTTGCAAAACCGGAATATCTCCGCCAAATAACTTCCACCACTCATCTACAAATGATATAGTCAGCAAAAAAAATATATTAGAAAATACAATATTTTATATATAATAATGACACATTAAGTTTAAATCATACCTGGACGAGTAAGATTACGAGAAGCAACGGCACTAGATCTACCAAAGGTACCTTCAGCATCACGAAACCTCCCTAAATTCAAGGTAATATTTAACACGTCATCACCTTTAAAAGTCTTCTCAACCATTTCAAGAACGCCTTGAAACACCTCATTCTTCTTACAAAGATTTGCATGATCATATTGGAAAACAGGATTCAACCAATAAGCCGCACAATAAATACTTTTTCTTAACATCCTATCCCAACGGCTATCAATTATGTTAGTGTAAGGCCTATATAATTCCTTCTTCTTCTTAAATAATTCCTTAATCCCTCTTCTTGCCCGACGCATTCCCTCGTAAACATAACCATTTGCAGGTTTTTCATCCGAATCACACAACCGCAAAAGCTTTAACAAAGGAGTCATCACTTTCACTGTAATCAAACAATTCTTCCAAAAGATTTCATTCAAGACAATCTGTTTACATTCAACCGCATTTCCCACTTTCAACATCTTCTTAAACTCATTAGATATGACCATTGCTTGTAAATCTTCTTTATGGTCATACAAACTTTGCAATGCTATGAACACGGTACCAAACCGAGTAGCACCTGGACGGATAATTTCTTTCCAACCGGGTCTTTTTCTTAACCAATTCAACGGCCACTTATGATTATAAACAAAAATAGTAACCCTCGATGCAAGATTGACCAAACTTTTCACATTATCCAATTCTGAAAGATCCTTTAATACAAGATTAAGACAATGCGCTGCACATGGAGACCAAGTAATAGAAGGATATCTTTCACATAACTTAGTACCAGCAAGCTTGTAATTAGCAGCATTATCAGTTACCATTTGAACCACATTTTTTTCTCCTACCATTTCAACAATCTCAGCAAACAAATTACACAAATTTGTAGCATTGCTCTCTATATCAGATGCATCAACAGATTTAAGAAATGATATCCCTTTCGGACAATAAACCAAGAAATTAATCAAATGTCGTTGTGAAACATCCCTCCACCCATCACTCATAATTGTGCAACCTGTATCAACCCATTGACTTCTTAACGAATCAATTATCAATGAAACTGACTTTTTTGCATCTGTCAATAAATTAACCCTCAGAGCATGATAATTAGGTGCTTTGTACCCATAACCAATGCTTGCTATTTTATCTACCATAAGTTGAAAAAAAGGAGAGTTGCAAGCATTCATAGGTATGCATGCATCATAAAACCACATAGCAATAGCTAAATCCACATCATGTATTTTTGCCTTACTTTGCATTGCAGATTTAATAGTGGGTTGGGAAGGATCATTTATACCTTTTGTAAAAAATGGATGCAAGTTTGAAGTAGATTTCCTTTTACCCTTTTTCACAGTTGACATTTCTATTTCCTCCATCTCTTCATCATCATCCAAGATAGTAACACTAGTGGTGCGTTTTTCTTTTTCTTTTTGGGCAGTCTCTTTCAACTTTCCTTGCATTGTAAACCGCACTTCTGGACTAACTTTTGGACATGATGCTACCTCACCTTTAATACCAGCAAGATGTTTCTTAACCCTGTTTATTCCACCACCACCTATAACTTTTTGACAAAAGTTACATATCCATGCCTTTTTCCCCTTCTCATCAACGACTTGAGTAACATGTTCCCATGCTATATCCGTCTTTGTTCGTACATTTGATTGAACCGAAGAATGGGATTGAGCTTGAGATTGTGCTTGCGATGGTTGTTCTTCCCTTGATTCCATATCTAACTGGATTGAAAAGTAATTTTATAATCAATAAACATATGTCAATTGGATCCTAATTTCATAATCTACATAATCAAAACCTTGAAACAATGACCAATTAACAATAAATGAAAAGTAAATAACCAAATTTGTCACAAAATCTTGAAACAATGATAATTAACAATATATGAACTGTAATTGATTTCACATGTAATTGATAATTAAGAATAAATAAACTAACAAAATCTATCACCTGCAATTGATAATTAACAATAAATGAACTGTAAGTTCACCTGATTTCAAAGTCAATTAGAGAGAAAATAAAACAAATCTAGTCAATTACAGCTAATCAAAAAAAAAGTCACTGCATTAGGAGTCCTAGACCTGGATGAGGCGATTTCTCCAAAGTGTGTAATTAACGAGAGATTGTAGAACTAGATATTACAGTGGTTACCAAGGTCTTAAAACGCAAAGCTTGTAGAAGATGTTTATATATTTACCAAATTGCCCCTGATAGGCGCTATATGGACCTTGTATGGTTACAGATATCATTAAAAATGGTGGTAAAGAGTTTCAGACGCTAAAACCTTGTGATTTGATCTTTATTCTGATACAGATATCATTAAAAATGGTGGTAAAAAATTACCTTACATATATTAATGAGTTTTCAAAATAAAATTTATCATCCAAAATATAAGGCTTGTAAATGTAGGAAATGACATTGCTCTTGTATAGAATGTGGTCATGTGATAGCAACAAAGAAATCATTGGGTTAGCAATTGATTAGCAATAGCAGCAAAAAAAAAAAAGTCACCGTCGATGTAGCACTGTAGCAGCAAAAAAAAAAAGAAAAAAGAACAGAAAGGAAATCGGAAGTTGATTTAGCAGCAAAAAGAAAAAAGAAAAGAAAGGAATGAACTCACCTGGAGGCGGCTGGAGAAGATTGCAAGTCGCCGGAGAGTGAAGTCGATCGAGAATGAAGTCGCCGGAGAATGGAGGCGACTTGCTGCGTCGCCGGTGATTGGAGGTGATCTTGTTTGCGACGTGCTATTTTGTTTCCAGAGAAGAACGAAGACGGAAGTTATTTTGTGGCCTGGAGGCTAGAGCGATACAAGATAGCAAATAATTAAGCCAGCCCTAATAAACCGGT